CCAAATCTCTACCGTTCCACCTTTCCTCTCCTCCTTCATCACCACCACCACCACCACCAAAGATCAACGGGCTTCCATTTTTTGAAAAGTTGTTTATATAAAAGAATCAAATGCTCACTATTTTAATTCCAAATGGCCTGCCACAATTTATAAAGCCACAGTAGCGTTGGAAATTTTTTATGTCAATTCTCTTTATTTTTATTATCCGCAGGATCTTTTGTTGTTCAATAGAATATTAGTAAACAGGGAAAAACAAAAAATATGTTGCATAGATTAAACGGACCGTCAAAATTTTTCACTATATGAAAAGTTGTTATAATCATATAGAATTTCACTCACAAATCCAATCCTGAAGTATTATAAAGAAAAAAAAAATTCGAGATTTACCACACCTACTTTTTTACTTGATGTACGAAAAGCCTCAAGGTGCTAGGCTTACAATTTTTTTTTTCTCAGATTAACTCTCTAACCACACCCAAAATAATGAAATACCTCCACTATTTATAAGATCAATAACTAAGTAGAAGAGTTTAATTTAAACTCAAACAAAACTCTTTTAACTCAACAAGGATTTCTTCATGTACAAGACTCCAAAACTACTGTAAATTGGAGACAAAATTCTACAAGGATTCTGCTCTCTTAATTAGAAGTCTTCCATATAATAATTACTTTTTATTATTTGCAATAAGAATACGCCAAATTTTTATTTTGAGACAATTACCCAACAAGTAGATCCCACTGGGTCGGTGAACAACAGCTGTTCACCCAATTTACTCTTCCAATTATTTCTTCAATTTCATAGTTCATTTGAAATTTTCTTGAATTATTCTTGTAGTTTCCCATTGGATACGAAAGTCACACGAACAAATTGTATAAGTTATGGAAAATCACTGCTGCAAAGTGAATTCTTTGATTTGAGGGGCAACTCTGGAGTCCATTGGCATTTCTCCATTTGCAAGGGCTAAAATATTTTTCAAATCGAAGGCATCATTTTTACAAGCTGGAGGAAACTTTTTTGAATTTATTGGCCAAATATGGTGGAAGTAATAGTGTATCTTCTCTTTATTCAGCCATTGCAAATTTTATTCTTCAAAGTGGTGGAATAAATCCTGCAAGAGAAATTTATAAACTATGGGTTTCTTTTTCTCTCGCACACAATTTAAAAATTGTGTGTTTCTTGAACAATTTGGATGAAAAATCTTGAACGATTCGAAGGTGTAATCTTGAACAATCCTAGATTTGATTCTATTTTTGGGATGGAAATAGTGATAGGGTTGGGAAGGAATATTAAATGGGTGGGATAAGGTCGTTGGAATGGAAGGTGGTGGCGACTGGTGGTGGTTAGATGGTTTGGTTTGGTTTGGTTTAGGGGATAGGGTGGGGATTATGAAGGGAGATGATGAACAATTTTCTTTTCGTTTCTTTTTATCTTGTTTTAATTATTTGAATGGATGAATGTGGATAAATAGAAAATTTACAACTTTACTCCTTTTAAATTTGGTCAAAATCAATTTCTTTGGTCACATAATGATCAATTATATGGAAACTATCCATTTGGACTTTTGCTACATATTTCTAAAAGTTTATGGACTTTTATTGTCACGAATTAAAGGATAAAGTAAAGTTTACAGAAGTTAAAAAGGTTAGGATTCATTGCTACAAATTTCCCTAACTTTTATTTACCCTTATATTTATTTTTTTGGTTGCCATACAAGTTTAATATATATCCTAGAAAACAACTATAGGAATTGGAGAAATGAAAAAAATAAAATAACTAAAGAGTTCGAAAATGTGCTCTTAATGAATTCATGGTTAAATATACACAAAATGAATAATGGGGGCGGAGCCAGGCCTGTCCCAAGTCCATTTCGTTTTTTTAGTAAAAATAAAAAATAAAATTCCATCCCTAAAATGTGCATGATTTTGATATCTTTTATAAGCACTTTACGAATAATTTGAGAATTGGATCAATATAAAATTGATACTTGCATGGCATAATACAAAATGTTACTAAAAATTGTTAGAAAACAAACAATAATTCATTTAGGGCGAGTATCAAATGCATACACTAGAGTTAATAATTGAATGTATAGTGCATCAAATAACCACATGTCATGTGTATGTCATATTGGGCGAATGTCATAATGAGTGATTACGAATATATATATATATATATATATATATATATATATCTTGACAAATTTGACCACGGTTATATATATAACTTGACAAATTTGACCACGGTTTTACTAATTGACTAAAATCTTAATTTTCGATCAATGAATTACATTTTTCATTAAAAAAAGATAAAAAAAAATTTGGTGGGTCAAATGGCCTATGGTGCCTCATCATAGTTATATATATATATCTTGACAAATTTGACCACGGTTATATATATAACTTGACAAATTTGACCACGGTTTTACTAATTGACTAAAATCTTAATTTTCGATCAATGAATTACATTTTTCATTAAAAAAAGATAAAAAAAAATTTGGTGGGTCAAATGGCCTATGGTGCCTCATCATAGTTATATATATATATCTTGACAAATTTGACCACGGTTATATATATAACTTGACAAATTTGACCACGGTTTTACTAATTGACTAAAATCTTAATTTTCGATCAATGAATTACATTTTTCATTAAAAAAAGATAAAAAAAAATTTGGTGGGTCAAATGGCCTATGGTGCCTCATCATAGTTCTACTACTCATGGATACAAATGTCTAAAAATTATTCTCAATTAATGTGACATTTAAAATATACTAGTTAGAATACACCATTCTGAAATATTTTATAAGTGTTGCAAAAGTAATATTTGATATCAATTTGTTGGGAGGATTTGATTTATTTCAAACAAGCTAAAGAAAATAAAATTTAGTATAAAAATCAAGAGAAGAAAATTGTGTTTCTCAAAACTCAACTTATATGATTCAAATTTTTTGTGATAGTGAAATATTACAAATATGTAACATTTTTATACTACATTTGTATATAAGAATTAATTGCTAATGCATAAATTAAAACACTCATTAAAATTCCAAGA